TGTGGCCTAATGGATAAGGCATCGGTCTCCTAAACCGGGGATTGTGGGTTCGAGTCCCACCAGAGGTAATCACGAATTGTAATTTTTGAAGTTTGAACATAAAATATGAAATTCCTAATAATATTTCTAAAATAAGATAATTACTTGAGATGACTGAAATAATTCGTTGCTTCAAATTACAATTTATCTGAAACCTAGACTTTAACTTTACTTTATTTCTTGTATGTAATTTTTAATTTCATTCAATTTTGTGTATTTTTCTCACATTGCTTCCAATATCAATAATTAATATAATTTACTTCGTCGTTCGCACTGTACAATTTAATTTCAAAACCTGTACAAGTGAAAATTTCTAACTAATCTGCCACAAGGGTGTGGCATTATTCATATATCGCATACCTTGTATTAACCAATTTTATCATTTTCAGGTTATGCGGCAATTTATGAATACGTGGTAAATATAGAAAACTATGTCCTGTGGCGATAATAACGGTAGAACTTCGAAGTAAATCGTTGAAAAAAATCAACTTCTTCGCGTCACATTCCAATATGTGTTCCATCTATCCGATACATTCGAAACATCTTGCGTGGTATCTCAGTAATATTCGTTTGATATTAAACGAACCGTTGATTTATACATCGCTTCGAGCATTATTTATTCATATTTTCAAATTCCTTGCACAGAAATAGACATTGTAATTTATTCAAGTGACCCAACTACTAAAACGTTAACTCTTTTCAACACTTCACACGGCCAGAACGGTTAATCGTGTTTCCCTTCCTCGTAAAAATCATGCGAATCAATAATAATTTCCCGTTTCGAGAATTGGCGCGAATTTTGAACAGAGGCATGTGTCCTTTCGTAGCATCCTTTCTTACACCTGCGATAAGATCGGTTCGAAGAGAACACTTGAAACGCAAAAAAAAAAAAAAAGAAAAGAAGACCATGAAACGTACTAATCGAACCACTTCCTTAGGGGTCCAGTTATACCCCTCTAACTATCGCGGTAAGCCATCGAAACTCGTAAAGTGCAAGACAAAATCGCCATAAATGCGTGCGTGACTGAAATATGGCGCAGTAATGTTTATGAGATGCTGTTACTTGTCAGTTACCGCTGAAAAGAATAATAACCCGCGCCTGTTACCACGCCTCGGTACGCACTTATTTATTAATAACAAGTTACACAAATCAAGGTATCGCTAGGCCGGCATGGAATGATAGCTTTTATTCCCCGACTCCTCGAGGGTACCCACGTGGGAAAAACCATTGTGCAAAGCAGAACACTTCCTCCCATTTTCCGCATTCTGGTAATACAGTTAACGATTATTATTTTCCTTGGAATAAAACTTGGCTGAGGACGATCGATCGATGGAACAATTTCCTCGATATTTCCTCGCCCGGATCTAGCCATTAATGTTTCTTATTAATCTTTGACGTTGCACGATTCGCAAAAAGTGAGGTATTATTCGTTTTCAAATGTTTACATTCCTTCTTCATTCTTGCATTGTAAGAATTTATTCGAGATTAATTTTCGACTTACTCGAAAGATTGGACAGTGAACGATGATGCACAATTTCCGGCGATCGAACATCAAGAAGAAAAAGATCGCCTGCCTCCTTACAATTTTTCTACCCCTTCGAAGAAATCAACGCCTCTGCGGAGAAATCCGATTCCGTAAGGGAAAGGATTGCGGCTCGGTAATCTGTTAACTCGCAGTTGCATATCATACATGCTCGCTTGCGTGCCACGAATCTGTTCCTCCACGAATCTCGCGCGTTAATCCGACTCGATACGAACGTATCCCCGGCATCAGTGTGCACATCCGCAGTTTCGAGGGGCGCGCCGATTAAATATCGGTATATCGGTGGTTACGTTTCCAAGTTGTGAGTTGTCGATCGAGGGAGGAAGGCGGAGGGCGTATGCGTATGTGTGTGTACGTGGAGAGAGGGCGAGGCGGTTATTAAGTTAGTCTCAGGGATTCGTTGGGCGGCGCAACGTATGAATTACGCGATC